AGGGACCCCCCCGCTCCGCCGATCTCCCAGTTATGTGTGGTGGGCATATGGCTCTGCGGGTCCTTTGGGAGCTGCCCCTGTCTTCTCCGAGCGGGGGGCCCACCCATGGACCCAGAAATGCCCTGGAGTTCGGCGGCGGCCCGGGGCAGTGGGCGCGGTACGCGCGCTGGGCGGGCGCGGCCAGCAGCGGCTAGCTCAGCTTCAGCCTGCGCACCAACGCCACGCGCGCGCTGCTGCTCTACCTGGACGACGGCGGCGACTGCGACTTCCTGGAGCTGCTGCTGGTGGACGGGCGCCTGCGGCTGCGCTTCACGCTCTCGTGCGCCGAGCCGGCCACGCTGCAGCTGGACACGCCGGTGGCCGACGACCGCTGGCACATGGTGCTGCTGACCCGCGACGCGCGCCGCACGGCGCTGGCGGTGGACGGCGAGGCCCGCGCCGCCGAGGTGCGATCCAAGCGGCGCGAGATGCAGGTGGCCAGCGACCTGTTCGTGGGCGGCGTCCCGCCCGACGTGCGCCTCTCGGCGCTGACGCTCAGCACCGTCAAGTACGAGCCGCCCTTCCGCGGGCTGCTGGCCAACCTGAAGCTGGGCGAGCGGCCCCCCGCGCTGCTGGGCAGCCAGGGCCTGCGGGGCGCCGCCGCTGACCCGCTGTGCGCCCCCGCGCGCAACCCCTGCGCCAACGGAGGCCTCTGCACCGTGCTGGCCCCTGGCGAGGTGGGCTGTGACTGCAGCCACACGGGCTTCGGCGGCAGGTTTTGCAACGAAGGTGAGCCAGGTCTGCGGGGGCGCCAGGGGCCCTGTGGGGAGGTGAGCTTTAGGTGGGAGGCCTGTGCGAGCCCTCTCCTCCCCTCAGTAAAGGACAATGGGTGGGCCATGGGGGCGTGGCCAGCTTGCTCGGGGTGGGTTGGTCTGATGGCCAGGGTGGGGGATCATAGGCGCTCCTGGGCCGAAGCAGAGCAAGCAGACGACGTTCAGTGAGTTCTGGTCAGAGTGGACTGACTGGTCAGGGCGACCAAGTTAGGGTGCGAAGGGGCCAGAGGCCTGGGTGGTGGAATGGGGTTTCCGGGCTCCTGTGAGCTGGCTAGCCCCTGAAGGTACAGGAGAAGCTTGTTTGATGGGGCACCGATCGAGGGGCTTGCTGGGGCTCGGGATCCTGGAGCCGATCCTGGACCATGGGCTTGGGGGGCTGTGGCAGACAGAGGACTGAGGGGCCCTCCGCACCTAGCGCTGAGGCAGGCGTGTAGCTGAGAGAGAGAGAGAAAGAGAGAGAGAGGTGCTGTGAGCAGACCAGGCTGGGGTGTCAGTAGGTGGGGAGAGGAAACATAAAGGGGCTTGTGTCACTCTGGTCCTGCAGGGGGCGGTGTCCCACCTCAGGGAGGGCCTAGGTGGGGCAGCGCCTTGGGCCCTTGCCCCTGGCAGGTGTGTTCTGAGCATGTTCACACTGACATCCTTCCCTCCCCTCAGCATCCTCTGGTTCTGTGGGTGTGCACACGCACACACCTCCGTACAGGGCCCCTCACTCTGTGGAGTACTCCATCACGCACCTGAGGAGGAAGATGGATGGGCCTGGGGTGCATTTCTGCGGTGGTTCGTTCCAGGTGTGGCCTCTAGCTACATAGCGCCGTGTGTACAGAGTTGGCCTGACACCTTCTCACTTTTTCTCCAAGGAGCGCAGGTGCTCCTTAAACTGTGAAGTGGTGTTGGGGTGTGCATGGGGACCCGAGGCTGGCAGTGTGGGTACTCCTGGTAACCGGGACTGCTTGGGTGGCAGTGTTTATAGAGAGAAGGTCATCGCCTGGTGCAGGGAGCTGTTTCTGAACATGGTGGAGTGTGCTCATGTGCAGGAGCCCGGAGGCTGGGGCTGCAGGGGCCACACACCTCACCCAGACCTCTTGAGACTCTAGAGGTGGGGGGTCTTTCTCTCCACGTCTTAACTTGCTTCTCTGATTCCTATTCACAAGCACCCCCTCAACTCTCCCCCCAGGGTGAACTCCCTTCTCATTGGATGAGAGGGACCTTTGAACCACAGAGGGGGGACATGAAGTTGTCTGAGGGGTCACGGTGGCCACTTTGAGTCTTTGCATTCTTTCCCAGAGAGGGGTCACTGCCAAGCGCTCGCCAGGCAAGTGTGGCCGGAGATGTGGCCTCGTCCACTGTTGGCTGGGTGTCTGCGTTAGAGCTGGGAGAGATGACTGCTGGTGTTCCTGGACTCTGTGTGTGTGTGTGTGTGTGTATGTGTGTGTGTGTGTGGTAAGTGTGACCAGAGAGGGCTGGGGCTGTGTCCCTAGTTGGCCAGGGCCCCTCCGAGAGCCAGGCAGCAAGATTAGGCACAGGCATAGCCCTTGGGCCGGGGCAGGATCCTGCAGGGTGGACCTGGCCCAAGCATGCAATTTGCATCCGTTTGACCTCAGTTCTCCTCTTACTCGGCTGGCTGTGTGGCCTTGGCTCGGTCACTGTCCCTCTCTGGAACTCAGAACCAATGATGCGGGGCAGGGGGAGCGGGGAGGGGAGAGACGCTGTCAACTCTCAGCCCCAGCAGGCAGCCTCGCCTGCAAAGGCCACAGGAGAGCAGGGGAGCTCTGCGCCCCAGATACCACCACCCGAGGGCTTGTGGGCAGGGCCGAGTGGGAGAGAGGCCATCAGCTTTGGGCCCGCAGGCTCCCTCCCTGCACGGCGACCTTGGGCAAATGCACTTGTCACTCTCAGTCTGTTCCCTTGACCATGAGCCCGGGCGACAGCCACTGTCTGACACACGGGCCTCCTCGCTGTGGGCACACAAGGAGCCTTGCCCAGCTTAGCAGGGCCCATGGAGGAGGCCCTGAGGGCAGTCCAGTCACCCCAAGCCCTCCCTGCTC